GAAAGGGGCCCAGGCTGGCCGGGTTAGGACCGGGCCCGGGTCTCAGGCCCAATTGGACACCCCTTCTTCAGTCCATAGACAAATTTCAATCTTCTATATGTATATAGGATTTTTCAATGTCTAAATGCAGTGCATTTCTGATGGCTCCATATGCTCTTAATTCGAATTAATACATTTTTCTTAGGTCCCATATTAAATTTTTTCCATATGTATCGCAATTTTAATTATTATTATTATTATTAACTACTGAGAGTTATTTAACTTTTACTGCATATTTAACTTCTGTTCGATCTTCAAGAGGTCCAGCCCATAGCGGCTTCATTTTGGGCTGCTGCCCATCTCATTGTGGCCTTCGAGCTTCAACCGTATAACTACGGAAATTTTTGGGGTAACTTTCGCAAACAACCCTGAACTTTGGGGGTTTTCTACAAAACCCCAGAAAATTGTCCCCACAAAATCCCCAAACCTTCGTCGTCTCAGAGCTCACTGGTTACTTGCCAGTTACAGTTGGGGGGATCCACTGATTATGTGAGACACGCCAAAGTTCAGGAGGTTTGTGGAGCAAAAAGAGTTCATATGTTACTTATTACAGCACCCCCAAAAGTCCAGAGGCGTTTTCTCAAATTAAAACAGTTCAGGTGGGTTTTCTTCAACGCCCCAGAATCCGGGGGTTTTCTGAAATTAACTCTTTTGTTTTCTCCGCTCCCCTATCTCCTCTTTGCGTCTCGAGCCATTGAGACGGGTTTCGAATCCTACGTCGTAAGCAGTCAGTGGGCTTCAGCTGAATCAGGTACACATTTTCTCTCCTCGTTACCGAGATTGTCTCTGTTCTTGAAATCAAGATTCTAGCTTTAGTTTACTCTATCCATTCATTTTTCGAGAAAACCCATATTCTAGTTTTAAATTCGCACAAAAAGATGTAACTTGGTCTTCATAGAGTTGATATTCTTTTACGTTCAGTGTTAGTCTTTTGACCCTGATGGATTCCTTAATTTGCTGGTAAGGTAAAAATATGTGAATCTTGAGAATGGGTTTATAAGTAGGATTAATAGCTAACAACTCCTTGAATCCATGAAAGCCTCCATTTTCTACCTGTAAGAAACCTTTTCGAGGGTCAATCAACGCACTGTTGAAGAGCCACGATTTCTGTGGATAGGAAGGGAGATCTCTTATCCATCAAAAAGGGGGGAAAATCTCGTAGAAGGAGAAGTAGAAGAATCACAATTTCAGATTACATTGCTGATCTCGTCCGCCACGTTTGCTTTGGACGATGTCTATTGTTTTAAATATCCCCAACATGGCCTGATATATGGCGGATATATCCTTTTGCAAGGTTTGCTGCAAAACGATATGGTCTAAATATCCTTTGTCGCTTTCTAGCAATTTTGGGCAATATTGTCAACCGCAATTGCTGACAGCCTATGGAAAAATAAAAAAGTGGCGGACCCCTAAATTAATTGCACCGAAAGAATTTTTTTAAATTTTATGAATAGTATTTTCTCGGCTGCTATAAATAAGTCCAAAACTCTTTAGGAGAAAATCATCCTAACAACAATTCCAATCTTCACATATAGAAGAGTGAGAGAAAAATAAAGAGAGTTTCTCCTTGTAAAGAGAGATTGTAAACTCCTAAAATTTCTCATGGTAAATTCTTTTATCATTGCCCGTGCTTTTTACCCTAAATTTATTTAGAGAGTTTTTCACGTAAATCTCTGTGTTCATTTTATTATTTTCGCTCTACTTTTCGCTAGGATCCTACTCTATTGGGTCCGAGTTTATCCCAACAGTGGTATCAGAGCCTTGCTTAGGGTGTGTGTATCTACTTATCATATGCTCTGTGACTACCACCAAAGGTGGATCCTTCACATCAGAAAATAAGTTAGATTATCATTTACCCTTTAAAAGCGATTGTATTATTCACGAGTACGGTAATGTTCATAAGTACAGACTATTCATAAGCACAGTACTATTTACGGATACGATTACTGTTCATAAATACGGTTACTATTTATGTGAAATAGTAAGAAGTTATTGTTCGTGATAGAAGTAATGACGGCAAAGTTCGAGATCGAGAAATTCAACGGGAGTAATTTCTCACTGTAAAAGTTGAAGATAAAGTCTATCTTAAGAAAAGATAATTGCCTAACGGTCATCGATGCACGGCCAGATGACATCATAGATGATAAGAAATGAAACGAGATGGACGAGAATGCTATTGCTAATATCCATCTGGTATTAGCAGATGAGGTGCTGTCAAACATAGAGTAAAAGAAGACAGCAAAGGAGATCTGAGATAATCTGACAAATCTATATGAGGCAAAACACCTGCACAACAAAATCTTCTTAAAAAAAGACTTTACATTGTGAGGATGGCGAAATCTACATCAATGACCGACCACATCAACACTCTAAACGTACTGTTCTCCCAACTTAAAATGTTGGGGCATGCAATCGGTGTGAATAAACGTGCAGAGCTTCTACTTCAGAGTCTACTTGACTCGTATGATCAGCTCATCATCAATCTCACAAGCAACGTCCTTACAAACAATCTAGTCTTCGATAATGTTGCAGCCGCTATTCTGAAGGAAGAAAGTCTGCGCAAAATTAAGGAAGAAAGTCGGCCCAAAAATAAGGAAGACAGACAGGCAAGTTCACAACAAGCGGAGGCCTTATCGGTGACAAGAAGAAGATCATTGGAACGTGGCTCCAGTAGGAGTCATGTAACATGAATATGACAAGATAGAAAGAATGGTGCGAATAAATTATTGATACTTAATCAAATCTTCAAGTGGGAGATTGACAACCGTAATTGCTGACCGTCGCAGTTGCGAAAAAACAAAAAGGTGGCGGGCCCCCAAATTAATTGCATTGAAAGAAGTCGTGCCGAAAGAAAAAAATTTATTAAAAATTTATGAATAGTGTTTTCTCAGCTATTATAAATAGGTCCAAAACTCTTCAAGAGAAAACCATCCTAACAACAATTCCAATCTCCACATATAGAAGAGTGAGAGAAAAATAAAGAGAGTTTCTCATTGTAAAGAGAGAGATTGTAAACTTCTAAAATTTCTCATAGTGAATTCTTTTATCATTGCCCGTGGTTTTTACCCCAAATTTATTTAGGGGGTTTTTCACGTAAATATATGTGTTCATTTCATTATTTCCGTTCTACTTTTCGCTGGGACCCTACTTTTTTAGGCCCGGGTTTGTCCCAACAAATATATCCCCCACGTGGCCTATATATCAGCCAATTTGTTGTCGATATGTCCTTCTATATGGCTTATCGCGAAACAAGATACGGTTCTTAGGAATTTTTGGGCGGCGTATCATGATTTGCCTGAGCATTTCGGCTCAGTTAAATCTTGCAATGTCGACATGGACTTTTATTTGTTGTAAAAGGTTGATTAGTGATCCTAAACATATGTTGTTTGTATTTTTGTGTGCTTAGATATCATTAAGTATATTTAGATTACAATTCTATGGCCTTATATTATATACGCACATCAACTAATAGAGCACTCCGATATTTACCACATACCTCTGATATTTCCCCGGTATCCGCAATATGATATGAATTTTGGTCGTCTGATATCTGATATTTAAAACTGATATTTAAAACCATGATAACGTCACTGCTCCTTTTCCCCATTCACTGTTATGAGGAAAGGCAACAAGGTGATAGGGAGCCAGTTTCAGAAGGCAGACATTAGTGCCTTGTTTATTTTACCTATCTCCAATGCAGTTGCTAATATGATCTGTGCTGCCTCTAAGATCAACTGCCCCTATGGGACTACTTTTCCGACACTGCAGTTTTGCTCTCTGTGGTTGGTATTATACCTTCAGTTCAAAGCAGAACTAGTGCATGCACATTGTCTTGAGATCAGGTCAGGAATGATTAGAGATCATTGTCTCCATAGGTAATTTGGTTTTTAATTATGAGCAGGACATGATGTTGCATAAGTGGAAAAGGCTAAGTGGCGTGCATGAATGATACCTGACGTCGATATTTCTTTATGGAATAGAGTTTCTCATCTATTTTCATTACATTTTGTCAGGGGGACTGAGGTACCGTGTAAATCGTTAAAACTTGCATTTCATAAATGAGTAGAGAAGACTAAAATCAACTATCTCTTGCTCTTAGTTTGTCATCATTGATCTGCTTATGATCTTCTTAGCCTTGTTTTCTCGTTTACAGTTTTTACTGACTTCATCAGTCTCTTTTTTCCAAAGTATTACAGACCATGATTTAGGATTGAGCTATTACATCTAGTGCATCTCACATGTTTCCTCCTTTTGTCAGCTATTGTCACTTTCTTGACATCATACCTTCACACGCTTGCTTACCTAACTCATAACCATAGCAGTTTAATGAAGTTCTTACGATAATGACAAACTATGCTTTATAGTCTGTTTAGCAACTCTCTATCAGTTACATTTTCATATCTATTGAAGAAATATTTATCGGATGTCTCCTAGGCTGGGGACCTCCTCTACTTTCATTTGACACGCTAGAAAATGTTTTCCCAAGCCTTCAACAGATCTTCCTTGATCTTTCATCAATAACCTTGTAAGTTCTTTTTCCCCCCTTGCAGTTAACTGCCACAACTGTTTTCCTTAAATATTAGGATAGTAATTCACCATTCTAATGATGATGGTTGTGTGTGGATGTGCAAGACACATTTCCTGCCAGAAATTTATACAATATTGAATAAACATGCACAATCTGTCCTTAGATTCGTACTCCTCTCAATTTCCTTTTCCCTACGAAATAGGGTTGCTGTGGTGAAATAGCTCCGTTACAAATCTGATGTAAATTTAATGATCATATGTTAACCTGATGAGAACCCTCAACCCTCTAAAATTTGCCAAAATTTCAGGCAAGTAAACTTCAGATAGAACTACCGACTACGACTTTCCATAGTTTCTATAAGCAAGTTGGCAGGTAGACTGACCTACCTTATTTTCTATGCAGTACAAGCTTTTGTGACCAAGAAGCAACCCACGAAAAATCTGCTTGATCAGGAAGGTTAAAGAAAGAGAAAAATGATAGATTACTCTGTTTGTATTTAAAATTTCTCACTAAACTTATATTACCAAATGTTTGTGTTTTCATCTTCAATGATCAAATGATTGGGCGTCGTTTTAATGAGTGTGATTTTATACCCTTCACGCATGTCAATACTCTATTGACATGACAAATTATCATTTCTGTTGCTACTTTTACTTTCATGAAATCAAGAGAAACTATGATATACTACACATGCTGCAAATACTCTTGAGAACTGTGTATGTTGGAGATGCAAAGTTGGACTTGTTATACTAGCATGTACACAAGAGTGATCCAATATCTCTTTACCTTCCCCAGTTTTTTTGCAAAATTTTCTATTTATATTCCCTATATACAACTAGTTGTCAGGTTACTAAACTTTAAGATACTAAAATATAGCCATCGTCTGTTCTACTAGAATCATATGATATCATGTTTCACTGATTATAGGTCTAATGGAAAGCAAGGACCAGTTACAGACTCCGAGTTATGCTGCTGATATTCAATCCATTGAGGAAGCACTACTTCGCATTGCTCCATACATTCACAAGACTCCAGTTCTCTCTTCAACAAGTCTAGACAGTATAGCTGGTAGACAGTTGTTTTTCAAGTGTGAATGTTTTCAAAAGGGGTGAGACGTTCTTTAACGTTTAATTTACATCTGGAAATACTTCTTGGACCTTAACTTTTAGCTGGTGTTTTAAATAAACTAGTAATGTTATTGACAGTCTTCAATTTATGGGCATGATTATTCCAGAGGAGCCTTTAAAATTAGAGGTGCTTCAAATGCTATATTCTCTCTTGACGACAATGAAGTTGATAAAGGAGTTTTAACTCATAGCAGGTTTCAGCTGTGTTATTTTAAAGTTCTGAATAAAGCATGGGTTATATCCCTCTTCTCCTGTTTTAATTGTGCTTTTTCAGTTTCAACAAAGCTCCTGACTTGCTCTTCCATTTAGTGGTAACCATGCTGCAGCAGTTTCTTTGGCTGCAAAACTACGTGGCATCCCAGCTTATATAGTTATACCAAAAAATGCCCCGAAATGTAAAGTTGAGAATGTCAAGCGCTATGGCGGACAGGTTATTTGGAGTGAAGCGACGCTTGAATCAAGAGAAAGCATTGGCCTAGCAAGGTTCAGCAGGCAAACCAGGCTGCAACTCTGATTCATGCCATTCAATGACAAGCGCATAATAAGGTGTGGCTCTCAATTATCTGAAATGTTGGCAATTTTATACATGAAAGTGGATCATCCAAGTACTATTCCATTTAACCAATTCAGAGAACAGCATCTTTCATTTTGTTTGTTCTATAGGCATCCTTTATGTTAGAGTTTTGCATATAAAATAGCTGATTGCCTAGAACTTATCACTAATCTCAGCTTCAAATGAAATGCCCTGTGGCTTTGAGAAAGTAGGCACTGTACATTTGCATAATCTATGAATTTAGTTGACTAATGTTTCAAACTGTTCCAACCAGTCCTCTAGCGATTAATTAAATGTATTGATCAGTTGATTTAATTTTCATAAGATGTTGCATTCCTGAGAACTAAGTTTATTAGGGATAAACAATATACTCATTGTTTTGCTCTTTCTGTTTATTTCCCTTTACTTTTGCTCTTTTCTTTGTAGAAAAGCTCATCCACAAATGTTACTATTCTGCCTTTTTGAAAAGGGAAAAAAAATTATTAACTGCAAAAAGACTCCCAATACTTCATCTTTACCTATTCTTTGCCTAAATGCATTACAAAAGTACCAGTTCTCTATTATTTGTAATTTCTCTCCATTGTTTTTTTTGCTCCTCCTTTTTCCTTTCCCATCATTTCTATGGTCTGAAAAACTTTTATCCTGGTCCTACTGTGAACTTGGGATGCATGGCTATGGACGAAACCTCCACACCAATGAACCCCAGCTCTGTGATCTATGTACCACAACTGTGATCCGAAATCCATAATCATGAACTCGGATCCTTTCAGTTTAAGTTAATGATTGTTGATCTAACTTTGGGTTTGGAAAATAACATGATTCAGATGTAAGATTTAAGTTTTGGGACGGGAATTATTCCACGTGTGTTGTAAGTAGAGGATTAAAATTATTTAGACATTACAGTGGACGATTAAATGATGTTTGGGTTCTATGAGGGGACATAAAAGGTAAAAGGAAAAAAATGAAGACCCAGATGAAATATTAAGTAATATATAAATAAATAATATAATTATTTCCTTGATAAAAATATTAAAACTTGGGGATAATTTTGTTAATGGAATATGATGTTTATTAGTTCCAATGGAGGGATGGTTGTCTGAGAAAAGCTCATGGTAGTTAAATGATGTTTCCTGAAAATCCATGAAAATTCATGGTAGTTTTCTTGAACTACCCTTTTCTATATGCTTGTTTTGTGTGGACACCTCCTTGCTAAACTGGCCTTTGCTTTTTCCAAACACTTGCAACTTGGATGTTTCTATTCAGTTTTGACGTGGTGTTCTCCATTTAAAGTTTTGCTCTCTAACCTCGGAGAGGCCCATTAGTGGTGATGAAATCAATCTCATAAAATTTTTCCATAGAAAAAACATCAACACCCCTTTCCTACACATCTTCGTACTTTTTCTAATTAATTGTTTCTGTTATCTAGGTAGGCCTCATTCTGCCTAAGTCGTATTTGCTATTTCTTTCAGTTTTTTGGCTTTGTTCATCAAATGGAACATGATCTTCCCTTGATGAAAGCATCGATTTTCTTGAAAGCTTGTAGTACTTTGAGATGGCTAGTTCTTCACAATCCAATTTTAAGCAACTGGCTTATGTCTTTGGCAGTGGACAGGGTACCGTGTCATTGGAACTTCTAGAGCAAGTCCCTGATCTTGATGCCATAGTTGTTCCAATCAGCGGTATATACCAGTGAGAAGTCTTTGGAACTTCATTTCTAATTTATTTATAGTTGCTTTCTTCAGTAATTATCTTGTTGCTTGCGGTCCCAAATACAGGCGGTGGTCTAATTTCTGGGGTAACTTTGGCTGCTAAAGCTATCCAGGTTTTTGGCTGGCTGGAAGCCGCAGCGGTGGCTGATGATGCTGCTCAGTCCAAGATAGCAGGAAGACTCATAAGACGACAAGAGACTAACACCATCGCTGATGGACTTCGAGCTTTCCTTGGAGATCTGACATGGTAACTACCAAAATATGAATATAAAAATTTTCTTTCTGTCTTAAGTGAAGTACTAGTTTCTGTTTGTTAGTCTTAAACCCATAGCGTTCTTCAATTTCTATAATAACTTTTGACAATCTTAATTCCATGTTGTCATTTTCATCCCTTGAGAACTAACACGGTATAGATATGGTTTACACAATGAAGCTCTGAGGAGGACACAATTGCAAAAACAGAAGACTAGGTCTCATATTAAAAAAGTTTAAAAGATCATTGTTAGGCTGGGTGTTTCCCTTTCTACAAGTTTTAAAAGCCGATTCTTAGTATAACGCCCACATAGTTGTGGAAAGATATGATGGCATCAATTAAATAGTCCAACCATTCTATGGCCTCGTATAAATACGGTCTTTTTGAACAATTAACTCATCAGTTTGTATTTGTCAGAGTTTTCAAAGAAGTCAATGGGGCAAATGAGTCTCACATTCTGATTGGCATGATCAGTCTGTTTGTTTCGTTGGAATGAGGCTAGCGTTTCTTAGTGTTCCATTATAGAGGAAGAGCTTGGAAGGTTAGTGTGATGGTTGATAGGAACTTAGACCAAGTTTCTGCCCTCTAAGAGCATCTCCAACAGCTTCCCCAAAAATTTCTCCAAAATGGGGAATCAAATGTCATATTCCCCAAATTATTTTTGCTCCAACTCCAACAGCTTCCCCATTTTGAAGAATCATGCATTTATTACAATAATAAAAATATTCTACATCTTTGACTAATAAATAATAAATTATTTTTTATTTGAAACTTTGAAATAACGGCTAGTTTCCAACGGCTAGTTTCTATAACGGCTAATTTACAACGGCTAGTTGACTTCTATTTTTGTCTATATATATAAGAACAAATCTGGACACTTTTGTTATCTCATTCTCACATTCTTTGCTTCCTCATCTTTGCTTAACTTTGAAAATATATTTTATGGCTCGTCGTTCGTTGGCTAGTCATTATCTAGTTGATACGTTCATGGATGACGACGACAATATTGACGACGAATATTGTAGGCGTCAAAAAATGCTGAAAGATATCCAAATACAGCTCAAGAGGAAATCATCCAAAAAAGGCAGAAGAACATAAGTATAGACTGTCTCACAGGCGAGACAGTCTTTACTGTCTCGCCTGGCGAGACAGTCTTTACTGTCTCGCCTGGCGAGACAGTTTTCACTGTCTCGCCCCCCGCGAGACAGTATTTACTGTCTCGCCGTGCGAAACAGAATTTACTGTCTCGCACACGAGACAGTTATCAGATGGTCAAAACTACCTTTGTAACTGCCCTACACGTGGCCACTAACTGTTCAAGAACGTGGGAAACGTCGTGGGCGAGAATCACGTGGATAACTGCCAAAATAACGGAGTTTGAAACGTGGGAAAGCAGTTACATCGAAAACTGCCAGAAATGTAGACAGTATTTTACTGTCTCGCTGGGCGAGACAGCAAATTTACTGTCTCGCTGGGCGAGACAGCAAACACTGTCTCGTCAATTTCTCACTTCGATAAACGAAGTCAGAATCATAAACCCCTCACGGTTCAATCAGAATCTGTGATTTGGTGGTCCACGAGTCAAAGCGCTCCCGGCACAGGCAAAGATCCCACGAAAGCAGTGATCCAAACAACGATCCTGCGTTTATTTTCTCAAGAGTTGTAATTTTCTTTTTGTTGTGTAAAAGAGTCTTATAAAAAGGCTGTTTTCTTTGAATTTATTGTAATCGACCGAAGATATAATGAATTCGACAACAAAACCAACTTTTGGCGAAAACAAACTGGCGACCACAGTGGGAGCCAACGGTCTCGCTGCCGAGACCGTCGTGTCGCAGCCGATCAAGATTCCAGTTGAATCCATGGTCGAATACGAATTCGACCAGACCAAGTTTGAGGAATATCTCTCATCATCCTCTTCTCGCAAGTACAAGAGGATCTCACAATTGAGGAAGAGTTACATGCCAAAGAAGGCACAAAATGAAGACTCTCGCTTGATTGTTGCTGAGAATTTCATTCGCAACACCTCTGCTCAAAATAGCTCTTATCTAATTGAAGAATCATCGAATCAAAGCCCGACGACATTGACGAAAAGAGCTCGTCAGAGACAGCGTCAGGTCAAATAGCTAAGCATTTGAAGCAAAGCCCGACGGAGTTCGTTATTATGGGCGGAACTTAGAGTCGAGAAAGCAACCAGAGGTGGTTCGTGTCACGCAAACGACGAAACTACTACACGTTTAAGCACCAATGTCAGCGAACGGAGGAATGGACACGATGGCTTAGCAACATCGTCAAAAGAGGCTGCGTTCGACCTCCAAGAACGTATACCAAAAACGTCGTGCAAACGTTGTTGCATCGCCCGTGCTCCTTACAACAAAGACGAGAAAGGAGGAAGGAAAAGCGGTGAACCGAGATAGAATGCACCTAAAACGTCCGGCCAAGTTTGGATTGCTGAAGTCCTGGACTTATGGCAAAATCAGCATTCGGAGCCGGCGTTAAGTACTCCATACCGGCACAAGGGGGTGTTCTAAACGTTCGACTGCCGACATAACGCTTGGATGATTAAAGAACGGAAAGATAAATTGGTTCGAGAATGCAACAAGGTTTGTGCACCCCAGACGAGAAGACGGCATTCAAGCCCGCCCAAATGAGTATCGTCAGTACGCCGTTGGGAGGTGCATAGCGCAACAACGATACGATTTATTGGCAAATCCGCATATCTGTGATGGAAGTAGTCGTATTATGGCAAGCTTGGGAATGTGAACAATAAATTTTCGAAAAAGAATTATTCACTCTCTGGTGTGTCCTGGTGGGCGGCCGACTTTGTTAAAGCGGCAGCATTATCAGGATGTGACTTGTTGTCAAAGCGAGAAGCTATGCCGCACGAAGAGCTCGTCTGTATCGTCGAAGCCTAAGCGGCGAGACATTTCCGCGAGAGAAAATAACGCTGCTCAAAGATGATAATTCCGTGAAGGTCACCATTCAAAGGTGACTGATCAAAAGAGTCATAAACGGCATTCGAGTGACTGCCAAAATCCCGACTTGTTCTCCGAAAGCAAAGCTCATCCAAGAATTGGCTCAAAGGATGTCTCCGGACTCAATTAGGAGCCATCAGACGCAGAGACTATAAGAGAATGCAAGAAGGAATGTCCTCGGAAGGAGTGAATTCTCTCGGACACTTATTCCTGGGCAATCGCTTGCTGATGATTACAATGTCTAGCAGCGGGAACAGACCAGAGAAAGTACTTACGATCACGCTCTGATCAATTTTGGCTCAAATACTTCAGGAAGCGTATTACTGATTTTGTTCTAACAAAGGCGAACGTGAAGAAATTAGAGCTGAGATAAAGACGAGGATGGGGTTAGCTATTCAAGCCAAATGAGAGAGTTTTGCTAACATCAAGCAACCTCAACTTCTGAGTCCAATCAGGCAAGGCTGAATCCAGCCACGCCAGCAGCCGGCAATGTTGCTAGGATGACAGTGATGCCAGAAGGTGGTGAAGTCATTATGGCTGAGCACAGCCGCGCCTCCCACTGGCAATGGAACGCGTGGGGGTGGTTTACGATCCCTCCAATAAGCGAATATGGGGGGTGATTGCGATAGCACTTCTCACTGGGGGGTGGTCCAATTATCTTTACTCGACATCATTCAGAAAGAAATGAAGACGATGACGGGAAAAATGGCAAAACTTGAAGACAGAAAATCAATGCTTTGATTGACGGCGTCAAAAGAAGTTAAGAAGAAGGGTATGCCATGTCTTATCCGAGGGAATGTGAGTTCATACCATATCCCGGACCAATTCAATCTGATTAAGCCTTCAACGGCGTTTTGAGAAGGGAAGAGTTCGCCGATTCAAGCACTTGATTTATTTCAAGTCTGCATTTGGGCATAACTAATCTGCCTGGAAACAGGAGGCTTACATGATGCGGTGCATTCGTTGGCAACCCGGCTTCGTGGGCCGCCTTCGATTGTACGCGAGGACGCTCGAAGCGCAGGGGAGCAATCGAATTGCTGGGAATGACATGGGAAAGGGTTTGTTCGTCACAGCAACCTTCTTGCGATGATGACACGCAGGAAGTGTCAATTGCGAATCCTTTTGGATGAGAAAGCAAAAAGACCGGAGGAGTCAGTCGACAATTTTGTCAAGCGTTTGCCGTAACATGGCGATGAATTGGCAGACGCCTCCACTTACAGGGAGGGAAGTTCATCGCTGCAACATGCCACAATAACCTCTCCATCGATGTCTTGGAAGCTTTGGGGGTTGAGCGTCGTCCATCACCACTGGAAGGAGTTAAAATTTCGTGGGCGAACAGCTGAAGCACTTTTCTTAAAAGAAAGGAAGGCTGAGTAAAGGCTACAAATGACATCGCGCAATCATTGGGAACCATAGCTGTACTGCCCCACGGGCAACTTAAGCTTTGCGATCGGCGAAAGATTTCAAAAAGAATATTCATGGTCGAAGAGGATGAGCTCGCAGCCATATTGGATACCTCGCTCGCTATGACAAAATCGAGCTATCCAACCTATTAAAGAGTCAGGGATGGAGCTAAGATGATTACGGATCCAAATGTACTGTGGCGTAGCGCACAGTAACGGATTCTTTCATCGCCACTGAAAATTTGCTTTGGACCTCAAAAACAAAATCCAGCCTTAATTGACTCCGGCGTCATAAAACGAGCGAAAGGAAGTCGAGTAAAGACGAGCCATAAAACTGCCATTGGGTACCGAGTATAAACCTGTTTTCCGGCCTTACTCCATCGGATACACGAGTATAACTGTTTTCCGCAAACTCCATGGTACACGAGTATCAAACTGTTTCGCGCTTACTCCATCGGATACACGAGTATAAACGTGTTTTCCCCGGACAAATCCATTGGTACACGAGTATACAACTGTTTTCCCCTTACTCCATCGGATACACGAGTATAAACTGTTTTTCCCCTAAACTCCATGTTGGGTTACACGAGTATAAACTGTTTCCCTTACTCCATCGGAT